TTCAACTTGCTCTAAAATGGCGATCTCTATACCTATTTCAATGAAACTTTGCAGACATATGTATCCATATACGTGACAACTGTCTGCCAAGTTAAGTAAAATTCGAATATGTCAGCGCAAAGTTATCGTCAAAAATGATGAATTTACTATGCATTATGTAATAGCGCGTTTAATGCGTGCAATACATTCCGCGCGGATGGCAATGGTGTCAAACTGACCGCAATGAAGTGCCTTTTCGAATGATACCAAGTATGGTATATGTTCATACAGAAAATTGTGAGTAAATCGCATTTGAACAAGGGTCACTTTACGAATTCCGCCGAGTTTCCGCCCAAATCTAACACGTATCGGCTATGACGTCATTTTTTCAGACTGCTTTTCGCCCCTTAAACGTCCTTTTTTTTCCTTGAAAATTTGCAGTGACATGCCGAGTTCCAATACGCAGGGCACCTCTTGGCCAGATTTTTGAAATTGGTCAAGGGGGCCATTTAAGACGCCATTTTGTCCTATAAATCTATTTTACACCACGTGTTTCGATAGGATTATCATAGAAAAAAAGAGAGTGGTTTACAATAACAACCATGAAATTCTCTTTCTAATGATACCAAATACGGCCCATAAAGAGACGTAAAGAGAGAGAGAGAAAAAACAATTTAACTCCGGTCATAATACAGATCCTGCACGTTTTCCGCCCATTCATTACACGCATTGTCTATGGGGCATATCGGGTTCACGCTTTTGGCCCCCAGAACGATCTTGATTGCAATGTCAAACATGCACCAAATCCCATTGGTTTGTGCACGCAGTGCTTGCGAGCCCTTTCTAGGTTCTTTCCCCTATCCCAATTTATTTCAAACTTCGTAGGCATAGTCACTACCATCCCATCAAGGTCACTGTTGATGCCTTTCTTTCGCCCTACCTATCTCCAATATCACAGAAGCTACAGACTTCGTGCAAATTGCTCTGGATAGTCCGAGAGAAGCTCTTTCGTTTGACACGTAGAAACATGGCGTCATTGCACGCACATCGTTCTGACACGATTGCATTTCTAGTCCTTATCCTTATCCTTATCGTCAGGAAATCGCATTCGTTTTGCACGTAGTGTTTGTGATTCCTAGTTAGGTGCTTTCCTCATGTCCTTTTCCTTTCAAATTTCATAGGCATAGTCTCTAACATCTCATCAAGGTCACTACATTCTTCGATTTTGGAAATCACTCATGCATGACCGTCCAGGCGCCATTTTGTCTGTTTCTGGTCCATTTTAAGGCCTTTATATCTTCCTTCCTATCTCCACTATCCTAGATCCTACAAACTTCTAACAAATTCCTCTAGATAGTCTGAGAGATGTTCTTTCATCTGCGACGTATGACTTGACCTTCAAAATGCCATCTTCATACTCGAAATTCAAATCTAAAACCGACTCCGTCAAAAATCTCTCAAGTTCTTGAAAAATGGACCCCTAAATAAGCTAAAACTGCCATAACTTTCTCATATAGATTCCGTTTTGTATTTAAATCTCACAGTATCTTTATCTCATAATTGCACATAGCCATGCCAAATTTCACGCTCCAATGGCTTTGCACAACATAAATAGCGCCCTCTAAAGTTCTGGGAATTGGCTTTCTCTTTGTGGCCGTATCTCCATAATGGCTTGGCAAACCCGTACCCTTTTTTGGATTTAGATACTTGAAGATATGCTCTTTCCAGCCATATACAAAATTATATACCCTATCACTGACCAAATTTGAGAAAATTGCCCTCCAAATTCGCCATTTTCAAGAAAATTCCGAAATAACTTCAACTTGCTCTAAAATGGCGATCTTTATACCTACATCAATGAAACTTGGCAGACATATGTATCCACATACGTGACAACTGTCTGCCAAGGTAAATAAATTGTAATGCCCTCGTTGCAAAGTTAACGCCAAAAATGATGAATTTGCTATGCATTACGTAATAGCGCCTTTAATGCGTGTAGTACATTGCGTGCAGATGACAATGGTGTCAAACTGACCGCAATGAAGTGCCCTTTCGAATGATACCAAGTATGGTATATGTTTACACAGAAAATTGTGAGTAAATCGCATTTGAACAAGGGTCACTATACGAATTCCGCCCGATTATAACACTTATCGGCCATGACGTCATTTTTTTCAGACTACTTTTCGCCCCCTAAACATCCTTTTTTTTCCTTGAAAATTTGCAATGACATTCCGAGATGCAATACGCAGGGCACCTCGTGGCCGGATTTTTAAAATTGGTCAAGGGGGCCATTTAAGACGCCATTTTGTCCTTTAAATCTATTTTACATCACATGTTTCGATAGGATTATCATAGAAAAAAAAAGAGTAGTTTACAATAGCGACCATGAAATTCTCTTTCCAATGATACCATATACGGCCCATAAAGAGACATAAAGAGAGAGAGAAAAAACAATTTAACTCCGGTCATAATACAGATCCTCTACGTTTTCCGCCCATGCATTACACGCATTGTCTATGGGGCAAATCGGGTTCACGCTTTTGACCCCTAGAACGATCTTGATTGCAATGACGAACATGCAACTAATCCCATTTGTTTTTGCACGCAGTGCTTGCGAGCCCTTTCTAGGTTCTTTCCCCTATCCCAATTTCTTTCAAACAGCGTAGGCATAGTCACTACCATCCCATCATTCATCTTTCTCTTCCCGTCTCTTCCTTTCGCATTGTAAATATGACCTAAACATTTCGAACATAATTTCTATCAACCGTAAAAAGACTCCGAAAATCGACCCCACGATAATACCAACAATTATTAGTTCTGCGCCACAAAGTGAATATGCGTACATGTTGAGGTCCATATTTAAAACTCAAGTATGATAACTTGAATATTGAATATTGTTATCATACCATTATTACGAGGTCTGTCGGCATTGACAGGTTAATTACAATCTATTACTGTACATAATAAAACTCTAAGGTCGGTGGTGTAGCCTCAATCCACCCATTGAGGGGTACTGGATCGATTGGGGGTGGGGAGAGGTGGAAGAGGTACCGGTCTTGCTCTGAAAATGAAATGCGAATTTACAAGGCTGCTGATAAAATGATGGTGCGGGAGATGGTCCAGGGACCCGTTTCACAAAGAGTTTTCTCAATGACAAACGACAAAAAAATCAGTGACAAATCTGCTGATAACCAATCAGAAGCAAGGATTTCAGTATCTTATAACAAAAACTGTCGTTTGTCACGGATGACAAGTTTTGTGAAACGCCCCCAGGCGTCTTCTCTCCACATCTCGTCCTTCGCTTTATCCTTTTTTAAAAAATCTTTTCACGCTTTTCTCCCCTTATTTTTCTTCACCACTCGATGATGGTATTGGGGGATGTGACCCCATGCCACTACGCCACTGTCTTAAGATATTTTATGAGGTAATGACCTATCAAACATGAGTTGAACGATCAAGGGCTCACTAACCTTGATCGTTTCATATATAGATTAAAGATGTTTAATATAGCACATGACATAAAATTTTATATCCCTTGTAAAGAGGAAGGTCATTTTTTTCTTTTGTGTCAATAACCTCACCGAGGATCTAAAATATTGTGAGTCTATAAACAATACAACCGTGTTTGAACTCTGCTGGGCTTTTATTTTTTACTTTGTATAAATATTTTTTCTTCATTTGTTATTATCAGTCGCGTGAGCACGTAACAGGTAGTTGTATTTTCCCGGTTTACATTCGAAGAGTTTACCATGATTGTAATACGGGCATTTTCAATCCAAGTATACCTACTATTTTCTTTTTTTACCCCCGTCAAAATAAGCCTTCCCTTTTAAACGAGAATTTGGAATGCTAATCTTTATGCAAAAAACAAGCTTAGACGCATATATGTGCACACTATTGTATGATTTTTTTTTTTGGTGCTATTTCATGGCTTAATTTTGCCGTTTTTTCTTTAAATATACATTACACTTTTCAAACAATTGCGAAGAAAGTAGCAAGCAAATAGCTAGCTTCTCATTATTAAGAATTTCGACGATTGCCAAGACTTTTAGTTTTTTTCTTCTACATACCACGCAGAGCTTAAATTACTGGTAGGAGTGTAATTTGTTTTAATTTATCTGTAAATTTACCATCAAAATCAACTGATAATATCATTTGTTCATAGTTTACTATAAAAACAAGACATCATGCTTCAGGAAACTAAAGAAATACAGGAGGCACGCTTCAATTTTCCCACGTTTCTCTTTCCTGTTTTGTAAAATTTCAGGAAATATTTTCTATTCTTTTCTTTCCTTATCCTTAATATTTTGAATACCATATGAAAGTATTTGGTGGTTTTAGTATCCCTTCCTCGTTTTCCGTTTGAACTTTAAAGTTGACTTACAAATATTAAAGGTATGAAGTTGATTTCCGGTCAGGAGATATTAGTTTGAAAGACATTATCTAGGAGTTGGTTATAAGGGGGAGGTTGGATGAGGTTTAAAACATTGACCTCAGTCAGAGCATTGCATCGACAGTTGTCTCTCTCAACTCAAGTATATCATCCTGATATACAGAGTCTGCTGATAGCGGCAGACGGAGCTAAATAATAATAATAATACGACCAAAAAAAAAAAAAAACGAGTCTAGACTTCTAGAGAGACAGCTGTTCATACAGTGTGCTTCATCTGTGGCCAATATTTTGAAATCCATACTGTAAAAGAATCAATAATCATCAATAATGCACTTTTATTTGAAAATTGTGAATAAATACGTAATAAATGAATCTGAGTCTGAATCTGGTTGCTAACTCACTTAAAAACAATACTGCTCCCTATACATTACTGAAATCTAGAAAGAAAATTACATAATCATTCATGATAGGGTTTTTTCGGTCACGAAATGGAGTAATTGATGATTATTTCAGCGGCCCTTTAAATGTTCATCCTCTCTCGTTTTTTTTTGTAGAATTAACAGTAGCACATTAGCATGATTAACTAGACATTCATTATTGTTTATTTATCAATCTTTGTTCACAGGATGAAGTCTGCCCAGCTGTATCTAACGCCACATCTGAGAGCTCCTGTGATCTGATGTCGTCATCATCTGACGATTCGATGATGCTTTACTATTGGCTGTTCATCATCGGTCAGGTGTTACATGGATGGGGCGGATCAACTCTATACACTGTCGGGATCACCTATATGGATGAGAGTTTACCATCTTCGACATTCGGTCTTTATATGGGTAAGGGAAACTATTCCACTTTGTTATCATGATTTTAAAACCATGGGGATATGATAATTGTGGTCACTTGCGACCAGATGATTAAGCTTGCACCCATTTCAAACTTCTTTCTCTACCCTTCAACAAGTTCCACAAAGCCTTAAGTAACTAAAACCCTTTACAACAACTTTTCAATACTTCTCCCTCTCCAACAATTACGAACAACTGCCAACATCCACCCTTTCAACAAAACCAAAAGAATCACCGAACTAGATGGATAATTGACCCAATGATAATCATTCATTGTTGTTTTAAGGGTAATTTGGTGAGTAACCCATATCTTCTTGGTGGCAATCGAGCGAGTAGTTCCCTGAACGCGCCTTTTTAGTGTCATTTGTGTCATTCTTAATATGTTTTCATAATCACCACGACCACCTCCATCTTTTTCATCATCAGCTGTAGCATCACCACCATCGTCGTTATCATCATCATCATCATCACCACCACCCCAACTACTACCATCACCACTACCATCACCACCCCATCACTACCCACTATCACAAGAACGCTTCTTTCCATTGCGACAGGGGTACTAATTTTATCCCGTACCTCGATTATCCAGAGAACCGTTGCAGCAATCAACGCTAATAGACCACCTTTAACTTATTATTATTATCACCACCACCACTACCACCCCACCACCATCACCCCATCAAAACCACCACCACCACCAGCAACACCACCAACACCGCATTTACTACCGATACCACCACCACCACCATAACAACCATTACTACCATCCCTAGCCTCGTCACCATCTTCACTACCGTATTCATAATCATTATCCATCATTAATGTGTACCTCCTCCTCGATACCCACTACCATTTTCATCATCATCATCATCATCATCATCAGGAATATACCACCACCAAAATATAAGGACACTTCTCTCCAATAAAACATAACTGGGACATAAAAATTAACTCCGTTTTTCGATCTTCACAGGTATCTTCACAGCAATGAACGCTGTAGGACCAGCTTTGGGTTACTTAATAGGTGGTGCCATGCTGTCGGACCTATACAACGATATTACAACACCACTGGCAAGGTAAGGTTTATGGTTAATATGAACAGGGGTGAATCAAGGTTTATTTTTAACGGGAGGACAGGGCATGATTTTGAAAAATCTCTGTCAAGCATGTATAATAAAATTTAACCAAATGATTTTGTTTGCTGATGTCCAAAAGAAAAAAATATACGATAAGAAAAATTGACTTGGAGAGATTGTCGCATTATGCAAATGCTCTTTGGGTTGAAAATTGATTTATTGTTTTGGGGGATTGACTTAATGTATGCTACTTGGGTTGCAGGACGGATGGGGGCAAGGGCTCGTCATGTCCCCGTTAATCCGCCCATTGAACACAAATATACCGGTAGAAGGATCTTGTAAAGAGATTCGGTATTAAATACAGATGAGCCATACTACGGCGGTAAAAAAAGTGCACGAAAAAAAATCATGCAGAAGAGAAATAGACGTAACAGCAGATTTCCTGACAGACATTAAAACAAGAAGAGTGAGCACTAGGAAGAGACGGAAGGAAAGATAAAACAGGTGAATGAGCGAGAGACAGACAGGAACTCATGCAGAAGAAAGATCCCATTTTCTTAACAACTCTTGAGCTTATCATCCTCACAATTTAGTTCCTATACTCAGGTTTGTTTTCGAGTCTAGACCATACTATCAAAAGAAAACAAAATGGGGGTAGGCGGTCGGGATTTTCTCGACATGCTGTCAGAATACAATATCCAACTAGCAAAACTAACGTGCTGAAATTTTAACAAATACATGGAAACTACATGGCAATTCAAGCGACATCCTGTCTTTATCTTTATTATTTGTTTTGATAATGCAGACAGTCGGTGGGTGGGGTGGGGTGGGAAATTATGAACCTGCGCCGTGTTATTAACTGATGGTGTACAAATTGTGACGAACCATCAGGAGCGTAGCGGGAGGGGCAGGGCACCATCCTTAGAGAAATAGTGGGTATTAAATTTAAATTTACAAGGCCCCTGATTCGAACTAGAGTGTGGGAGGGGTACCTATCTTTTTTTACTTTCTCGTCTTCCTCTCCCATTCCTTCCTCATTTTCTTTCATTTCTGTTTTCTTCTTCTTCCTTTAAGCTATTTAGTTGATTTGGGGAGGGGGCGCGCCCTTGTGCCTCCAAAGCACACGTTTCCTAGACAACACGTTGCGAATTATTTCATTATTCTCATGTTAACTCAAAACAATACTCACAGGATGAACCTGATATTCCAATGTTGTCTGGTTTTGTTTACCTTTAGGCTCAGACTGCTTCCGAGATTATGTTCCTGTTTTTGTTTTAGCCGTACTATACGTAAAGCAACTCCTCTCTAATATTCACGAAAGGTTGATTGTCTTTACTAAACACATGTCTCTTCCAAGTTTTGCAGAAAGATTGAAACTGACATTTTGGTTCAGATTGGGTGTGCGGCATAACAGTTGCAAGGAAAACATAAATTAGAACAAATACTTGTGGTAGAATATTAATATATTCAATCTTGTATTATAATATGAAGCACTTGTCAGTTAATACATTCAGTGAATTTAGCCTTTTTAATCGTGAGAGAACATGATCAAGATGTATCATGGTTTTCTACCGAGCCACATTTGATTTGGATTTTTCTTTTATACCCACCATCTTTAAAGTGGACCCCTGTGAACAGCATTATTCGTGCCTTTCAGGGTGTTTCATCCCACAAGTGGAAATCAGATGTATAAAAGTATTATACTACCGCAAAATGTGCATCTAAATATGCCAATATACTTATCAAGTATTTTATCTGATTTCATACAGCTGCTCACTGTTGACATTCATGTTCCTATCTTCTTGGATTAGGAACTCATAACCTTAGGAAATTTGCTTCAGCCATAATATTTTTAACGATCTTAATTGACAAGTTTGATGTCCTTATAGATCCCCAGACGAAATTTTTTTGTGGGATCAAATTATAAAAATAAAAGCTTTTACGTGTAGGAGCCCCCACACAACTTTCATCACATTGACCATGTCTAGCAGAAGTTTAGCCTTCCTTTTAACAAGGGGGAAGGGCAGCCTAGCACAATTTACCGATAGAGATTAAGTTCATATCGCGTGGAATACAAGAAACCTCATTTGTACGAACATCCACATCACCTGGGTTGAGTGTGGCAAATGTATATAATGTCTTGCCAAAGGACATTGGTGCTGTGACAGGAATTCGAACCCTGTACCGTCTGAAGACTTATCCACTGGACGACAACAATCTCGATACAGAAGATGGATGAAGATGGGCATACTGTCCTTATAAATGACCTTTGCTTTTAATGTACACGACCTTTAACCTTTCACCTTTCCGTTTGTTTTTCCTAGTCTGGACATTACACCTGATAATCCTGTATGGGTAGGGGCTTGGTGGCTAGGGTTTTTAACGAATGCTGCTCTCATCTTCATCTTTGCTTTCATCAACCTCGGATTCCCAAAGACACTTCCAGGTAAGGATATAAACCTTTTCGGGAGAAAATAAACAAACAAAAAACTAATAAACTAAAATCACAGGATATTTTAGCGAGACATTATGAAAATGACACCAGCAACACGAATCGGGTGAATGCGATATAACTCAATACTCACTATTTCTTTTCTACCAAAAAAGTAATACGATTACAAATTTTCCGAATGTACGTGGAAGAAATCCTTTTTAGCCGATAGAAGTTAGCCTGAATTCATCGCACGAAATAAAGACTTTAGCATATACACAGAAAAGAAAGATGATATTATTTATCATGAGTTTGGTGCAAAGATTAGCCATGTTCGACCAGGCAAAAATTATTCATCACGTGAGTCACAATAAGCTAGTACGCAGGAAACTATAAGGCTATCCGGTTTTGATTCTATGTCTCCAATAAGTTTTCACATTAGACAAGAGCTATAATTTGACCGTAGCTTTGATGGGAGATGAGATCATCTTCTCTTCTGTATTTTGCCAATTCCTATCCCGGAGATAAATTACTTTCAGGCCCTTGTCGTATCTATAAGCTTATTTCTGAGTTCACTGCGCATGATGTTTGCAGTAAATTCAATACAGGGGCTCTACTCCTCGGGCGCATTTCGGCTCACCCCCCCCCCCACCCCCAATTATAGATCCTCAAGTAGTAATTGTCACCCCCCCCCCCCCTGTTAGCGTTCAATGGACGGGCACTTATGCTATTCAGTTCATTTATCTATTAGAATCTTAAAGTTTGTAATACAAAATATGTGTGTGTATCGAATTCGGTTGAACGAACCTTTCAAAATATTAAGCTAAAACAACGACCTTTAAGAGAATATGAGTGACTTTTTTTTCCCCTTTCAGTATTCATGTTTCGGTTTTGGTTCTTCATAACCATAGTTAACTATTCCGAATTAAATCCGGCGGCATGAAATTTGAAATGGGTTAACCTAAGAACAACTTCGTTTCTGAATAATGGCGCAGTAACCCTAAAAAAATGAACTGAAAAGCAACTGCACCCAACTTAGGACTTGGTTGTTTTTACTGAGCTCTGTGTAATAAGATACATACATTTATAGCGTGTTACACTTTACGTGATCTTTAAAATATATCGCCCTTAGGCTTATGAGAATTGTATTTGTTCATTTCCACAATATCATATTCGTTTCAATTCAATTCTAAAGATGCTTAATTTGATAGTGGTTGTGCTAAGGAATGGAAATTTTGAAATACAATAATCACATGGTCATAAAAAAAAACGATTAAAGGGGAAAAGGCTACGGTGTCAAATTATACTTTTATTGGCGTATTTCCAATTCTCTTATTGAAATGGCCAGGTTTTATTTGTCAATTCAATAACGATATCGCAGAAAACTGCAGGAAAATATCAATATCATCACATGCAACGAGATTGATTCAGAGGATTTCGATTTAGAGTGAGGTTACGTTTCTTAATACTGAATCTTAACCCTTTGAAATCATCAGTATACGTATATGTACAACAACAAAAAAAGTTGAGACATTAGAACATGAATTGGAAAAATCCAGCGCCACATTATAAGCCTACTTTCGCTCGTGTAATGGAATGGATGGAAACGATGTTCATTAATGTATGAATTATATTCGTTTATCTTTAATTCATGATGCAGGGGCATGAAATGTCGTTTTCAAAGAACATCTCCATTTCCATATTCTTATGGGAATTGTTGACATTTTCTTTTATGTAAAAATTCAGCATTATGATAATCTCGTTATCCAAACAGATTTCCTCATGTTTTTTTATTAGCTTTATTTTAGATTAAAGACTTTTCAGGGCGCCATCTCATGCGTCCTACCAGACACATATAATACCTCCTTCGAGCATAACATAAAAGCAATTACCAGTTCTAATGGGTGGCTTGGGGGCTTCTACAACCCCCCCCCCCCAAACACACACACACAAAGAATTCGCTAGCTACATGAAGAAAATTAATCCATCAGTTCCCAAGCTTCTAGGCCTCCATAGCCTCCCCCCCCCCCCCCCCAAACAGAAGAAAAAAATACTCCTGGCAACTTTGGGAGCTGGCCAATGTTTTATAAATTTGTGACAAATTTGACCTCTCTCTGTCTCCCTTACTTTTCTTGTTTTTTCAGTTGTTGTTGTATATCCCTTTCTTCTTTTCACCTGCTTTGAACTCGTTAGACTGACATTTCACTTTGTCAAGATGAAAGTGGAATAGACGAAAAAAAAATTAATTGTTTATTCTATATAAGAATGTTTAGTTGACATTTGAAATGATGCTAGACACATGCAATATTTCCCTTGAGTATTGAGTCGAAAGCGTTTTGAAAGTTGGATCGTATAATTATGTCAGTAGTTTGGCAAATTTGGCGGCCAATTTTTGTAATGATTTTCAAAACCTTTTGCTAGATAAATCACTTCCGACGTTAATTTGCCATGAGAAATGTGGGACAACATGATGGCAGAGACTTTGGAAAAATCGACCTAAGGCATTTTCAATAGCGCTGTCCACCACCTGATTGAACATTACAATGATAATAACGGCGTTTATGATTACGTAATCCGAACATTATTTATATGGGATGTAAACATTGACATTGGTCTTGAGCTGTTTTTGTTATTGTTGTTGTCTTTGCTTTTCGTGTAAGATTGACTTTTTCCCCTTTTCATGTATCAAACAGAATGATGAAGTTTTTATTTCGTATATGAAGTTGATGTCAGACACATACAAATGTTTCTCCTTTGATATTGAGTTTATTTGCACGATTAGCTGGATGCTAAAATTTTGTGAAATTAGATGGGCAAAAATATTCAATCCGCTCTGTTTGGTTTCACATGTAGTTTCTTATGTGTTTCACTTTTTATCTTGCGATTTATTTTGAATTATTCTTTTGTCGTCGGCTCTTTGAATATTTCTTGCAAAATTTCACCCTCTTTGAACCTGTTCAATTTATTGAAATGACAATCGGTCATGATAAAATCGAGTTTGACTTTTATTGTTGATTTTGTTCATGGCGAATGGTGCCATTTTGTGCACGATTCATGCCAGGCGTATTCAAGAAATATCTCCCATGAGTACCCGCAAGGCCGGTTGAAAATAAAAGGGGATAGATGACTTATCAGGTCAGAATAAACTGGTTATGACAAATTACATTGTCAGCTAGAGGCAGGCACGTCATACGTCTTTTCTATTATTATTATTATTTCTATATTATTTTCCCCATCTCAGTTAGATTTTTTTTTTACCTGATAGAGCCTTGAACTTACGTGTTTACCTTTTTCTTTGTGACCTGCTTTACCAAGAAATCAAGTTTTCATGATCGGGGTCGTACTAAATCTTTTCTTAAATACACCCCTCCCCCCTGTAATGCATGTGCGTGCGGACGCTTTTTTCGGGGGTGGGGTAATGGCCGGATCTCTATCACCCCTCAATTTCCTGCCGACTCCATTTATCTATATTGACAGCTCGTCCACAAATATTGCAACAATCAGAACTTGTAATCCCTTATCAGTGCCCTAAACAAAATAATTTTAGTTGCATGATATCTCAATCGGGTGACATTTCGCTTCTAGTGAACGTATGATTCCGATACATTTGCCAGAGTGGTTTTACGTGGGTCAAGTCACCGATTAAGTACTGGCCACTGTGTGAGTGGAAAGGTGGGGAGGTTAGGGGGGGGGGGGTTCAGGTCTCGTTATAGTTAGAATAAACGGGTGTATGGTATGTAATTGTCGTGATGTCTTCGTCACACGTTTCATATCCATATTCCTTACTCTTATTTTTGTTGGGGGGGGGCACATATTTCGTTTCGTCCATACTGCATGTTGCAAAATACTAAGTTCCTCAGTGTCTTAACTTGTCACTTCTTTTTCTTTTTCCTGTTGCAGTGTCGCATAAAATCTTACAAGAGAAGAAGGGCGAATCTCAAGCAGGTTGCGAGTTTGAATGTCGTGATGGCTCTTACCTTGAGGTACTACAGGACTTCCCCAAGGCACTCTTAAGCCTCCTGAAGAACCCACCTTTCATCTTCCTCTCTGCGATCGCTACTTGCGAGTGGTTCGTGTACGCCGGCCTAACAACATTCGGCCCAAAGTTCTTCGAATCTCAACTAAATGTCTCGGCAGGGGATGCCAGCTATGATATAGGTAAGCAAGTACGTGACAAGTAGCCGCGTAGACCCGGACAACTACCCCCTAGGATAGTTAAACGGGGAGTAGTTGTCCTAGAGGATGGTTGTCGTTGGGGGTAGTTGTCTGGGGGTCGTTGTCGGGGTAGTTGTCAGGGGGTAGTTCTCCTAGGGGGTAGTTGTCTGGGGTAATTGTCCGGTGTAGTTGTCCTGGGGTAGTCGTCCTAGAGGGGGGTTGCTCTAGGGGTTAGTTGTCCTAGGGGGTAGTTGACTTGGGGTGGTTATCCAGGGGTGGATGTCAAGGGGTAGGTGTCCTAGAACCGTGTATCCGTTGTACTTCTTTGCTGGTAGTTTTGATACTGATTAACAAGTTAAGTATTACAAAAGCATTAAAATTACTTCTCTCTTTTCTTCACTTATTTTTTCTGACAGGAATTATCAGCGTTTCTGCCGGCATCGTGGGTTCAATTATAAGTGGAGTGTTGATGAAACGACTGAATTTATCAGTAAAAGGTCTTTTAAAGCTGAGCGTAATATGTGCCGTAGTCTCTCTCGGGTCGCAGTTTGTCTTCCTCTTTCCTTGCCCGAATATTCCATTTGCTGGAGTGACGGTTCCATACGGCAGCAGGTCAGTTGAACAAACCATTTTTTCTTTTCTCTTAATTTCTATCCCATCCCCAAAAGTGTATGAATAACTATGTGTTGACTCTGAATCTTGGGCCTAGCTAATACATTAATCAAGGGTCTAATAACCACTATTCATTCTGATGTCTTAGATCAACACCAATATTTTGCAAGCTAGGGTGTCGTCGTCTATATCACTGGCTAATTGGCCAAAGAGACATGTCATTTCATAGATTAGCATACCATTTAACAAAACTTCTCTTTTCTATACCTCACCTTCGTTAATAAGCATCACTTTTTTAAAAAGAAATTCGTTGAAATGCAAAATAAATATGTATTTACTTCTTCATTTCCCTTTCAGCCAAGGCACCTTGAATAACACAGATATCTCTGCACCCTGCCATGGTTCGTGCGCATGCCCTAACACCTTTGACCCGGTTTGTGGAGAAGATAATATCCTGTACTACTCTGCCTGTCACGCTGGATGCTCGATTCAAAACCGAACATTAGATGGAAAAATAGTAGGTCATGCTTTGTAAATTATCTTTCAAATGCACCTAAAGAAGGAAACACTTTTTAATGAAATATGATCAATGTAAATTGAGTGAATACTTTTTTGGAACAAAGAAAAAGTAAATCGTAACGCTACTGGTTTAACAAACCTGATAAAAGTATTAAAAAAAGTGTTTACTTTATATGTGAGCATTTTCAAAACATTTTGATTTTTAATTTACGACAGAGTTTGGTGTAAAAACAACTTTATTTCTATTTTATGATCATAAAATAAGCAGACTAGGGCATAAATGAAAAATTATTACTTCAAGCTATATATATATATATCGTGTTTTCCTGAGATTTGGATGCATGGCAAATGCTCCATATTATGGACCAATTTTAGACTTTTTGTGAATTAAAATTGAAATTACATGTACTTTAAAAATGTCATGTCTTTTCCCCGTCTTTTTCTCCAGACATATTTAGACTGTTCCTGTATATCAAACATCGCTGATTCAAACGGCAGCCCCTTTGTTTATGGCACCGTCGAGAGAGGACGCTGTTCACAAAAGTGTGATTACCGATGGCTATTTTATATTTTGATGTTCCTCGCATTTCTTTCCACGTCCATGTTAATAGTTCCAACATGGACAGCAACAGTAAGGTAAGAATAGGGGCAGATGCAGGATTCTTTGAAAAAAGAGGGGAGGGAGGGGGGGGGGGCATACTTCTGAAAACTAGCCGTAGTGTTTCTAGAGGGGGAGGCTTGGCCGGTGCTATTGCCCTCTTCCCATTCTTGATTATAAATGAATTTAAGCAAGACACATGTAGAAGATGAATGCAAGGACACTTATAGAACGATATATATTGTGTAAAGTTGCAATGGGGGCATAGGATGACCTAATGAGAAACACTGCATAAAATAAAGTTATGAATAAAGCACAATTACAACACATAGTATTATACAAGCATTACTTGTACATAACATTTATTGGTCATAGCTTCACATTGGAAATAAATGAGTTCCAATTTTGTGACATTATACTCAACAAGAATCATAGGGATTAAAAATCAGTTTTATCCCTTTTCCCTACGCATTTAGAAGAAGGGAAATTATGTTATTAACTTTTCTTATTTATTGGAAGTGCTGCAATCAAATATTAAAAGCATTTGAAAATATCTGTCATTGTAAACATACCACTAGGTTTATTCATAAGATCATCAAAACAGTTGAAGTTTCTTGCTCCAGGCATGATTAATACAATCATTAAATTATTATCACTATCTTTATCCTTTCAACAGGTGCGTGGAACATAGCCTGAGAGGCTTAGCCCTTGGCGTGCAGACAGTCATGTACGGAGCATTAGGTAAGTCTGTAGGTCCTATCCTTAAAAAGAAAAATTGCCTCAAGATGTAATGTAGGTCTACTTTTTTGCTATTGATGATGTCGTAGTGATTTGATGATTTTAAAGGAAATTTTAAAATGCAGTTTAACAGCCCTGTGCATCACGGTGGAACATTACGACATTTTCGTCGATTTTAATCTTTAAAACGTTTTGGGAAGCTCTTAAAATATCTTCTACGGCTGGTCAGTAAACATTTAGATATACAAGGCATAATTTGGCAATTTGACTGACGACTCTTTTACCTTTTCCACCTACCAGGAAATGTTCCAGCTCCCATCATATTTGGGCTCCTCATCGACCGCTCCTGCCTCCTGTGGGAGACGACCTGCGACGGCTCCCGGTCCTGCTGGCTCTACGACAACCAGCAATTCTCCCACTCCTTCCTCCTCCTCACAGTCCTCTTCAAATCATGCTCCCTCTTATTCTGCGTGGCGGCGCTCTTCTGCTACAAGCCGGCCGCTGCCTTCAACTCCGCGGGCGCCAGCTCGAGTGTTCTACCGACGATAGCCAGATTGTGTGTCAGGAAAGTGTCACTGAGGTTATCCACGAAAACAAGAGGATCAGCGTACCGCGTGGAAACATGAGCAAGCACAAGAACTCCCGATGAAGCCAAAGATCAGAGACTTATACCCCAGGGAACACAAGTTAACGTTTTAGAAACGTTTTAAAATCTTCAGGAAATTTTACGAACGTTGTGTATCTGCTGGGACCCTGTATTTCTCATCTTGATAAGAGTTCTCTATCCGAGTGCCAACATATTTGATTCAGTTTGTGATTGGAATTTGGATGAGAGCGTGGTAGCAGATTATTATTATTTTAAATATGATCAAAATGTATGATGGGACCACAGCCGCTGTTACGTCGTGTTGCAAAACTCCAATGGTTGTGATACGCCAAGGTCCGAATTCTCCCTAAGATCTGACATTATGACTACACTGGACTTTGAAAGAGAATGGAACATGTAGAGAGAAAGGGGGAAAAGGAACATTGAACGGGAAACGTAAACAGTACTGGAGGAAGTAGCATGCATTGTCAGTATTATAAATTGTTCACAGAGAAGAGCTCTGTGACAACCAAAATATTTACCCCTTTTTTATAAAGGCCATATCCGATGATAAACACATTTAATTAGACGGTTTTATTATTACATGAGAATATGTTAGTGTATCTAAAATGCGAACATTGATTTGTGTGCTTGGCAGATTTGATCACAGTTATATTACCAAATCCGTGTTGGAGTATCAAATGATAAATTTACATCATTGTTATTTTCAATAATTTTTTGACTAGAAAGACTTAAATAAAAAGAAAAGAAAAGCATTATAATTTACCTCATGTACAAAGAAGTTGGAGATAATGAAGAACCTCAATGTTAAGTTACTTAAATTGACTAGAGACGGCAAATCAGACAAGGTTATGCTTCGTCATAGTAAAAATAGAAATCACCGCGATTTCTTTAGAGAGTCGTGAATGGGTATTGTAGGCCTATACACCCGCAAATCGGATTATCAATGAATTATACCTACCGAATTCATTTGGTAGATACGTTTCCAAACATGATCTTTGTCAAATAAACCAAAATTAGTCGTTTTTTTTTCTTTCTTCAAGGTCCTGAACGTTCATTATCCATTGATTCGATTTAAAAAAAACTCCTCTACACTCCCTCTTTCCATCACGCCTTGAATATATTAAGTTATACAAATGTTTTTCTTCTGTTTGAATTGTGTATTCATCTTGTTTTTCTTATATTAAACCATGCCAACTGTGTCCTACCTTTTTTTTTTTTATCTCCTTGGCTTATGGTTATAACTTACATGTAAAATATACTAAAAGTTATTGTTTTCAATGTGTGTATGTAATAATGTAAATGCCTCATGTAACTGTTAACCAAAGAAGATAATGAAAACACATCCACCGCTGCATGATTAAGTGTCTAAAACATTGCAAAACGTTTAAAATTCAACATTATTCATATTTTGAGAGTTTTGTAGAAGAAGAATAAAAGCCTTTGTTTAATAATAAGTATGATAAGCCCAATGTTGTAAATTGGAGCGCATCACTTCTGTATAATAAATGTTTAAAGTAAACTATGCAGATAGTAATAATGTAGTTGATTAATTTACCGCATATATAAATTAAGTTTAAATTGAAAATTAGCAGCTGAACTAACGACCAAATCATAAACATTAGAGTGTCATACTAAATGTAAAGTAATCAATTTGTACAATACAATATTATATTGCTCTGTTTCTATTCAACTCACAGATTGTTTTTGTTTTAATAAAAAAAGCACCGATTTTCAACCACTGGAAGAAATAAAAAAAATCAAGAGCAATTTCAATGATCTCACATGCATTGACTATGGATGTGAGCATATATATATTATATATAAACCAACATTGAAGCTGTTGGAATTGACTAGATTTAAATTCACGACAGTATCTGCGATCGCTTTAAGAATGCACTTTCATCATTAAGGCGAGTGGATCAAAATACTCATTTGTAAAACGGTTGTTACTCAGTTCAAGTCTGATTAATCACTTGTATGGTCGTAGATATTCTGTTACTGATTTATGAACGAAGAGTTTAAATCTACATCTTTATTTACATTGTGAATTATAATAGAATGCGATGACATTGCAACAATTTTTTTTAAACGACTAATATTTGTTCTAGCACGAGATTCCCTGTGTGATGAAATCGGACGACGGTAATTTTGAAACTTACATAATGTATTACAACCTTTAACGAGTTGTAATTTGAATGAAAAACCAAACCTATATCATGCGTAAATTCCGTTTCCAAATAGAGGTATATCATAAAAGGTATTAATAAGTTGATGAATATCATAATGACTCAATGTTGGAAAGCTATCAATTGTTATATTCTACGAATATGATATTGCATGCAGGAGTCGGGTTTTAGGGTTAGGTTTAGGGTTAGGGTAGGGTTAATCACTAGGGTTAGGGTTAAAGTTAGGGTATGCTGGGAAGACTCTTTGGTCCGTTATGGCAAGTGAAGAAACTGTGGTCGTTAGGGTAAATTATTTTGATACAATTAAAATGACAAGCCATTAGCAAACATATGTGACGTCAAGGAACCGTGACACCTGCACGCAAAATGGTTGACTTTGAACTGTGCACTTACATAATACACTTTTTACACTGGGGTTAGCGGTAGTTGAAAAATGCTTGTCTGAACAAGAAGTAAACATTTTCATGTCACTTTAGTGATTAATTCGTGAACTATGACCAACCTTTGCGCAATGGCGTTGTGACAAGCTGTGCCAGTGCGTGACATTGCGTGCCATGGCACACCTAATGATGACGTGAAGTTAGCCTATATGGCACGATGTGGCGACAAACTGAATTGTTCAGCAGACTATGTCCCACAAAATGGTGCAACTTGGCAAGCGCGATTAAAGTGGTGCGGGACCAAAATTCATAAAAGCTTTAAGGCGACTTTAGTAGGATCAATACGTGATCATTTATATCATGGTCGCTCTCAGCCAATTATTTGTTTAGATTCTTGTAACCATTAAGTAAGAAATCACAGTATTAGATATTGTATTGTGTAAAGTATTGTACATGTAATTTTTTGACACATTGTAATTTAATTTTGTAATTAAATAAATTATTTTCATTCGTAACAAGTAGAGTAAAGTGTATTTTGTTTTGTCCTAAGATATTATAAAACGACCTTGAAATGAAAGATACGAAAAAGGAGTGAATTACTTTAATGTGAGTAAATGATTCAAGAAGTTGTGGGAGACGGTTAAATTAATTATGATGATACGTCTATATACAAAGGGAAATATATGTTATCTGAACTTAGGCTTAGGTATATACTTTCAAAGAATAATCAAATTAATGTGCTACTAACAGGCACTAACTTATTTCACATCGGTTTAGGGTAACAAATGTATATAAATACTAAAGGACATCAGTGCCATGGTTGAAAAGGGCACCGGTGCCTCTGGCTCGAATATCTAGATTTTAATTAGTACATTAATTTAATCATTACATCTAATTAATATATTGGGAGTGACGTCACGATACGATGGGCTTGGGAGGCGGTTTTGAAGGCTAGGCTGAGTAATATCTGAATGCTCTCGATCCATGGGCCTGTAATACACCAAAAATCTACGCTGTACTATGAAAAAGAGCGAAAGGCATACTTCTTCGAAAAGATATCCATATTTTCTCAGGAAAAAACAATATTCTACATACAAATAAGCAACAATGGCGAGCCAGGCGTGTGAGGCGGCAACCAAGGCAGACTTCGATGGGGGGTAAGCGGACACTTTTGTTTTTGTTTTTTGGGAGTCCAAAAAAAATCGCAACGACTCAGCCAGCCGAAAAGTCGCTCAGTGGGGGGGTGGGGGTGGGGGGGGGGGGGGGGGGGGGTAAGAGGGCACTTTTTTTTTTTTTTTGGTCTCGAAATTTGAAAATTTGACATTTTGCTCCGATGGGGGGGGGGGGGGGTATGGTCACCTTTCTCAGGTCAGCCATGGGGGTAATTTTATATATTTTTTTTAATAATTAAAAAAAAAAAAAAAAAAAAAAAAATCCAAAGGGGGGGGGGGGGGTTTAGGGATTTTTAGGGGGGTTTACACACATAAAAAAACCAAAGGGGGGGGGGGTTTAACCCCCCAAACACCCCCCCCCCCCTGCGTACGCGCCTGGTTTCATTTGATATAAAAAGCATTGCTGTAGGCCAAATAATAAGTCCAAATGCAAGTACAATAAAGAGACCCGACTTCGCCATATTTAGGACGTCGTCTACTCCACAATTAAGCTGCCATTTTGTCAAAATTTCCCTTAGAAATTCCGGGTTGTGACGTATCGCAAGGAAAACTGATGTAGCGCGCGACGCGTGCGTTATATGCAATACACGTCAAAAATAGTGTACTGCCAAGTGTTTGGTTGTAATAATTATTCCTCGAAAACCAAGGAGAAATCGTTCCATCGGTTTCCAGACCAACACAATCGCAATGAAATGTTAACACTATAAGAAGTAGCTCTAAAGTGGAGAAATTTCTGGACAAAAAGTACAAGTACGACAGGAAAAAACAATGTGATCTGCAGTGATCATTTTACAGTTTACATCAAAATTCCTTTCAACTATATACAGAACAAACTCCCCCATATCGAACATAGCGTAATCTGATACAGGTTGGATGGTACATTTATACATTTTATTCAACCCATTCGTATCGGTGAAATTACTGACCTTTTTTTCAAAGACAAAATTATAAGCTAACGACTTATTGAGCTTCTTGACATGAATACTCCAGGTTAGGTTTTCATCAATTTCAATTCCTAAATACCGAATATTTTTGTTATCTTGTTTGAGTTTTATTAAAATCCAAAGAAATTTTTAAATCCCGAATAGTTTGTGAGTTAAGTTTCAATAGAATACTATAAGTTTTTCAGTATTAACTTTTAATTTATTTCTTTTATACCACTTACTCATTTCCTCTAGATCAGCCTGCAGCTTAGCCCTAATAACTTCGATATTTTTTATCAGAAATATATATATAACAACGTCAACAGCATATACAATGCATGAACATAATCTTAAACATTCACTTATATCATTAATAAAAACAAGAAGAAGTAAAGGACCCAGTGCACTGCCCTGGAGTATTCCATTAGACAGACTCTTAAATTTAGACACTTTCTCCTGACAATAAACAGTTTGTTTTCTACCAGACAAGTAGTTAGTAAACCATATCAACTCATCATTCTAAACACCATATCTTTCCAATTTTTGCAGTAAAACTTTACTATCAATGCAGTCAAAACATTGCGATATATCGAGGAAACAATTAGGCACAGACCATTTCGCGCTCATTAAAAGAATCATACCAATCATCTAATATCTTATGTACACATGTAGTTGTCGAGTGGTTCGGTAAGAAACCATGATATTGATCAATATTTATGAAGTTGTGTTTTTGAAGATATAAAAAGGAATTGACTCTGGACTTCTTTCTTCAGTAATTTAGCTAAATGACACACCACAGAGATGTCACCCAAATCCCCCCTTATAAATGGGCGATGCGACTTGTCATAATATCGCCCTCACCTTCAGTTCGGGCAATTATGTCGTAGTGCCCTGAAGGCAATCAATATTGATTGATTATCGTAATGTATGGCTTGTAAGCATTCCTTTGATAAATAATTCCTCTATTTCACTTTTCACTTCCGACAGGATGAGTGATTGTGCAACGAACCTTATCATGGTTTGATGAACCACTGCCTTAAAGAGATAGTTGAGTTCTGTTTTCAGACTGCAAATGCCTTCAAAGTGCATGGTTATTGCTGTTATTCTTATCTCTGACATTTCTAGTGCTCTTTTAGAACCTAAAATTGCTATGAAGGTAATCTTAGACCCCAAAATGTGTGAAATTTAGCCAATACGAGCATACCAATTCAGCTCCCCTTTAACAAAAAAACACGGTGACCGTTAATTAATGATTCAATTAAAAATAACAATACATGGGCCGGCTGGTTGTGCGTAATATAAGCAACAAGAAAATGTCAACAAAAAAGCCAACATCGGCATTGGCTAAAATACGGCTTAAAAGGCGTTATTTTGTTTTTCAACGTTTTTTCAAATTTTTCAAAATATCTAATATTTGTGGTGGTACACAAGTATTAGAAATCGTTATGTTTCAGCCGTCTCTGAACCGATTTTGATCAAACAAAGATGATTTTGTCATTTCAATACTATGTTCTTTCAAATTTGGCACTCAGTTTTTCATTATCTCACAATTTTTTTTTTTGTAGCGTCCTCCGCACCAGAACTCAACTATCCCTTTAATTTTTCACCATTCAAATGCAAATATCCATAGAATGACCTTGTACGATTCATTGGCATTATAATAATAATAATAATCCTTTTTTTTATATAGCGCTCAATACAACGATCCAACGATGTGCCTAAGCGCTTTACAGATATATTATTACCCCGGTCATCGGATTCAGGCTTACCCGCACACAATGTGTGCACATTTTCCACTCCCTGGGGAGCATTCCAGCCAGTCGCCATTTTACAGGCGCATGAAAATGTGTCTTAGCTTGGTTGGGAACCTTTCAGCAATATAGGACAGTGGATCTTGGTTTTTAAGGATTTATATTTAGTTTCCTTACATCCGATAAACCGAGTATATAACACAATCTTGGTGTGAGAAGAGAAAATGTAATGTTTAGAGGAAATTTTGATTTCGAAACGTTTTCATTTTGTCACTTATTGCAGTACCCCCTAAAAGAGAAAGAGTATCTAACTGTCAGAAATACATTTTCAGTATATTTCCTCTTTGATTTGTTATTTATTGTGGATTTTTTCGCTCGAAAATATATCGGAAGAGAAGAAAAGAAAATGTTAATAATGATATGTGAAAGTGATATGTGAAAGCATTGACTGATGTATAGTCAAGGTCATTTTTGGGAATGAAACTTCTTAGGATTTTAGAAACTATGTACGATTGACTTGCAAGGCAGCAATTCTGCGTTTATACATACTCATCAGTTCATTTGCAGTGGAGAAACGCCATTCATTTTGTGTACATCACTGATATTCATACTGACTCCTCTCGTCAAACAGTAGTACCACTAAACTTGGAAAGAGTACGAATAAAGATTGTCAGAAGTAAGTTTTCATTATATTTCCGCTCTTCGGTTTTGTTGTTTATTGTTGATTTTTTTAAACTAGAAAATGTGTCGGAAGAAAAGAAAATATTGATAACGATATGCGAGAAAACAATAACTGATGTATGGTCCAGGTCATTCTTGGGAATGAAAGTTTTTAGGATATAACATTGTAAATTAGTTACCAAAACCAGGCAGCTTATTCCTTGTAGGTATAGATTTTGCCACCTGTAATTTTAGGAGACTATGTCTAAGATATGATATGAATGATTATAAAACGGACATCCTTTGAAGAACTGATGACAATCTTCCACCATTCAAACGCAATTATTCAGAGAACCACCTTAATTGTCAGGAGATACAATCCGCGTTCTCAATGACACAAAGAGATACTTTACAAAAATGGTACAATGTATATTGTTATGCTTTTACAAAATATGCATGTGTTAGGTGCGTATCAATGCTTTAGAGACGTAGTATATATTGTGGCCAATTTGACGTAAATCTAAGTTTATCTACACATGATTACGGCTATGCTAGCTAGTCCCATTTTGATAGTGGCAAGCAGTATACATTTAAATAATCTGAGCAGGGCCAGGGAGATGGGAGGGATCGAGGCTATACCGTACATCGTGCACGTGGCATATGGCATGCAATGCAGTGGCGGAGGTTAAACCATCACTACTACTAGTACATTTGAGCTTCACAAAGACAGAGGTTATGATCATGATGATTTGATGTGGACTACAGAGTACAGTTAATTGAGCGATAACTTAACATCTTCATCTTCATTATCTATGATTCTTTCTTCTCGTGACAACGCAATCAAAAGTGAGTACAAGCTATAGGCTAAAGTAGGCCTACTCATGATACTACTCTACCCTATGCTCCCGGCCCCACACTTCGGGGTATGGGTCGGAAGGGACCGCATCATGCATGCACAAATCCCCTGTAACAGTACAGTAAAGCCAAAGGGGTACTTTTTCGCGCGACCAAGTCCGGCCCGCCATTGACTTTCACACCGGAGATAGGAACATGCAATGCGTACACTAAATAACACTGAGTAGGGGAGGGGGGGGGGGGGGGGGGGGAGGGGGGCCGGAAGTCGGAAGCCTAGGTCTAGTTTCTACTCTAGTAAGAGACTCTGTTTCTTTTGTTAGTGTTACTCTGAGTCAGATAGATCTGGGGAAGATCTTTAGCATGTCATATAACAATTAATATGTCTTTGTGAACATAATTATAGATTTTAGATAAGATCTTCTGGAGTTCTGATTTTGGCTGGGCCATCCATTTTTGATTCCGCCCCTCCCTCATTGAAAAATTCTCCAACTGCTGCAGTTCACAACTTGCCTTTTAGTGACTTATTCCTTTCAAGACGTTTTTTGCAACTTTTGAGACCAACTGAAGTTTGCCAAAATCAGACAATCCTTTGCTAGCTACAAACGAAATTGCGTAGTTGCTCGCATGTCAGGCCATAATTGAACAAAAGTTTACATTTAGATTCCGCCCTCCTCCCTCATTAAAAAATTCTCCAACTGCTGCAGTTCACAATTAGCCTTTTAGTGACTTTTGTTCCTTTCAAGACGTGTCTTGCAACTTTTGAGACCAACTGAAGTTTGCCAAAATCAGACCATCCTCTGCTAGCTACAAACGACATTGCGTAGTCGCTCGCATGTCAGGCCATAATTGAACAAAAGTTTACATTTCTTTTAATATTTGTGTACAATACGCTTTTACGAATCTTGATCTTGTAGTGGTACCGCCATATTTGTTATAAATTTGACATTTGTTCTGAATTGTCAATGTTGTACCATAATTTTGAATTTTGTATCCATTCTTATAAAAAAAAAATCTCATTTTTGAGGAATACAATCAATGAAATTTGAATTTGTATGTTTTTAATTTATCATTTCTTAAACATAACAAATAATAAAAACAGAGAACTATAATAGAGATAGAAACAATAGAATACATTATAAATCAATAACGCAATAATTATAAAAATAATTGATATGATATTTTAAAATTATTCATACAATATCGTCAACTATGCTACTCAGAAACTTATTTTTGAGGAATACAATCAATGAAATTTGAATTTGTATGTTTTTAATTTATCATTTATTAAACATAACAAATAATAAAAACAGAGAACTATAATAGAGATAGAAACAATAGAATACATTATAAATCAATAACGCAATAATTATAAAAATAATTGATATGATATTTTAAAATTATTCATACAATATCGTCAACTATGCTACTCAGAAACTTATTTTTAAAGAATGTCCTTCATACCGTGTTTGGTGTTTGTCTTCATCATAACAATTAATACTGTATGTAAAACTATGCATCTAATTTGCATGAATTATTTAAAGGTAATAGATAAGCAATATTTCCTGTTGAAAATTGAAAATTATGCAAAAGGTCTCTTGTCACTTGACTCTTAAACGTTCTTACTTCGCTATAATTTTCTTTGTTTGATCAGATGCCAAAGCTTCCGAGACTGAAGGTTACGACCATTTCTAATGGGCGCGTGTACCAGAGTGCCATGAGTAGGCCTCGGGATCATCCAGAGACATTGGAAATCTCTAATGGGCGCGTGTACCAGAGTGCCATGAGTAGGCCTCGTGATCATCCAGAGACATTGGAAATCTCTAATGGGCGCGTGTACCAGAGGGCCATAAGTAGGCCTCATCAGGCGCGCCGGAAGCAGTTTGGGATTGGGGGGGCAAACGTTCCAGGGGGCTCACCTTCCAGGGGCAGTGACGTAATGAGAAAAAACGTGCGGAAGGGGGGGGGGAGCAGACAAAAAAAATCTGCATCACCATCAGTCTTACACGTTACATGCAGGTCCCGCGGAACGTTTTTCAAAGTGGAGTATTAACGATCAGGTAGAGCGTAAATTGGCGTGGGATCCAGGGCATGAGCCTCGGTAGGGGGTCAAGGGGCTGAGCCCCCGGAAGCTCAGGGGTTTTAGGTATTTCCTTACGGTTAGATGAGCATCCAGGGGCCCTCTTTTAGGCCATTGACGTGTTCCAAGGAGGGGGAGAGCCCCCAGAAGCTCAGAGGTTTTAATATTTAACTACGGTCAGATGAGCATCCAGGGGCCGCCTTAGGGCCCTTGGTGGGGTCCGGAGGACAGAGCCCCCTGAAGTTCAGGGGTTTTAGGTATTTAACTACGGTCAGATGATAATCCAGGGGCCAGCCTTAGGGCCCTTGGTGGGGTCCAGGGGGCAGAGCCCCCGGAAGCTCAGCGGTTTTAGGTATCTAATTACGGTCAAAGGAGCATCCAGGGGGCGTCTTAGGGCCCTTGGTGGGGTCCAGGGGGCAGAGCCCCCGGAAGCTCAGGGGTTTTAGGTATTTAATTACGGTCAAATGAGCATCCAGGGGCCCGCCTTAGGGCCCTTGGTGGGGTCCACGGGGCAGAGCCCCCGGAAGCTCAGGGGTTTTAGGTATTTAATTACGGTCAAATGAGCATCCAGGGGCCCGCCTTATGGCCCTTGATGGGGTCCAGGGGGCATAACCCCGGAAGCCGGGTTTTTTAGGTATTTAATTAAGGTCAGATGAGCATCCAGGGGCCCGCCTTAGGGTCCTTGGTGGGGTCCAGGGGGCATAACCCCTGAAAGCCGGGTTTTTTAGGTATTTAATTACGGTCAGATGAGCATCATAGGGGCAGAGCCCCCGGAAGCTCAGGAGTTGTAGGTATTTAATTACGGTCAGATGAGCATCCAGGAGACCGCCTTAGGGCCCTTGGTGGGGTGTGGGGGCGGAATCCCCGTAAGCTCTGGGGTTTTAGGCATTTAATTACGGTCAGATGAGCATTTTTTATACCTTATTTGTGACATTGGCAGGTCACTTAATTTTTCTCTCCGTCTTTCTTTCTTTTTCTCTTTAACATACTTTTTTCAAAAAGTGAGGGGGGGGGGGGGCTCGAGCCCAGCCACTTTGCAGACCATGACATAAAGGCTTCTAAATAAGCGTATTTTTCGCCCGACTGTAATTTGGGAATTTCTTATTTTCCAACAACGCATAAAAAGGTATGACTTACCAAAAAATGGAGAAAAATACCGGAAAATCATGTCATAACAGCAACATTTGTAAATCACCCGTATCGAATAAGAAATACACCCCCCCCCCCCCATCAGTACGCCAGCATTCAGGGGCTCATGTCTTCTCACCCCTATAACAACAAAAAACAGACACGCTTTCCCATTCTCGCACAATATGTCCACGATATGCGCGTATCGCTATTATAAAGACCTCCATTGATAAATACCGTATAGGTGGCATGCGCAATGTTTATGAAATTTTAATTCCTGTGAACTTTCCTTTTCTTTGAATGGAATTGTATATGACTTGTGATTTAATTCAGGTTTTTATTATTGTTATGTTCTTGGGGGTTAAAAATAGAAACCATGTTTACTCCTTTACTGCTTTTTTTTTTTTTTTTTTTTGAGGGGGGGGGGGGCGTTTTGGGGGGGCAAAAATGCGTTTTGCCCCCCCACTTTTTTGATTGGGGGGGCAACTGCCCCCCCTGCCCCCCCACTTCCGGCGCCTATGGGCCTCATGATCAGTCAGAGACATTTGTAGAACCAGCTGCTGAAAAGGAACCAGCATGTCACAAAATACAAGAAAAGGAAGCCTGGGAGAAGGTGAAAAACGACATCAGGACGTCCTTCAATGAATCCATCTGCCCAGAGGAGGGTCTCTGTATCATCTGTGAGGAAAAGCCAGACCCACTTGTTACCTGCAGAGACTGTTCACGGACAGGCCAGGTGTTCTGCAGAGATTGTGCCATCCAAATGCACAAACAGCACTGTTTGTTGCATACTCTAGTGGAATGGCGGGTAGGTGGAAATACATTCTCTCTGATATAGTTTGAAGTAAATATCTCCTTGGTTATATCGAGGGTTCAGTGACACGAAGACGTAATTCCATACTTTGCCAAAATTAGTATTTGATACCAAAATGTTCAGAAAAATGTGGGCTTTCCAGGAAACACAAAGACTTAACTCCATCCAACACCCCATTGAAGTCAATGGCTAGTGAAACATACACTTAGTGACACATAAACCACCTTTTCTCAAAATGGCCAAAGTGGAGTTACGTCTTTGTGTCACTGACCCCTCGATATGAAACAAACATATATTCAGTAAAATCATAAGTTGGATTTCTGAAGTGCATTTGTATTTTAATCATGATGACAGGGAAGCACCTCTTACGCCTACTATACAAAAAGTTGCAAGTCGTAACCAGAAGAAATTTCCACTGGAATTCTGATTGCTTGAATTACATGTTGTATTGGAGTTCCTATGCTCACATTAGCTATTAATTTAAACTGTGATCTTCAGAAATGATATGAGGAAAGTACTGGTCAAAATTAACAAAACACCTACTAAATAGCTTGCTTGTCAATGTTGTGTCTGCACCTTCTGGTTACTGAATATTTTAAAAAGGTAATATTATACCAAATTTTGTGAAAGGTCTGGGTCAATTTGAATTACATAATTTATTGTAATTTTGATGTAGAAGAAAATGTGTTTACAAATCTTGCTCATACAGAACATTGTGATAGTCTAGATCATACTTATAGTCTAGCCGTACTCAAATACTTAATTTAACTACTAGAATAGCCATTATGTATTATATAGTTTGTTGACCTGGCCAGGGCTGTTATATTCATTTGTAGATGATAATTTTTGATCTGTTTATACATGTACATCATGCCATTCAATAAACCATAACAATTCAAATTTAATTCCCTCCATACAAATCATGTTGGATTTTCTGTAATAACTTCATATTAGTGCAGATTTAAATATGAAGACAGAATGGACAGTAGAGAAATAACAATTAATGGAGCTATTTGACATATGATTGCTGTGAATTACAGTATTTTCTGTTCTCACTTAAGCCACCTTTCTCATTCCTACTGTTTTAGCCTTGAAACATTGTTTAAAGTAGTCTCACATTTTCTCTCTTGTTAGAATGAAGAGCAAGTTGCGTGCTGTTACCAGTGTACCTTTTCCAGGGTAAACCATGACTGTTCTACAAAGTATACACGGACTATTAAAGTGTTTAATGATAAGGGTGAGTAATATTTACTTAATTTATCTTTGGGTTACCGTGATGGGAGATTTATTTAAGTCAGTATTTGTACATTTCTTTGATATATTTTTGTGTCTAACAGATATGATTTGTTGTTGTTCTTTAATTAAGAATTACTCATTCCCATGATGAACAGGATCTTTTAAAAAATCAAAGTACTAAATGAATGTAAATTGTTAGGAATGTTCTTACATCTCCATATTTTATTTGTAGCTCACTACCTAGTGGTTAGTCTCAGTCTATTACACCAATAAAAATGACTTTAGCTTTTAATAGTTACCTTATTAAAGCGCATGGACCATGACCTTTTTGTGATGTAATTTCAGCCCCCAAATGGTTTACAAAGCAACCAATAAACTGTGCTTTCGGTGAAAATCGGTTTGATAAAAGCATCGAAATAGTTTCTTAAGATTGAATGATTAAATTATATAACCCAAGTTTTTTATGGATAGTGTACAGTTTTTACTGCACATTTTCGCTCTATATACAATCAAAGATTGTTGTTACATGAATTTGAAAATTTTCTAAAGCAAATCTAGATTTGAGCGATTTTTGTTTTGTTTTTCTTTTGTTGCTTTTTGGGGGTGTGTTTTTCTTATGTCATTGTCACAGCCAAAGAAATATTTTAGAGCAAGGTGTAAATCTTAGAGCTATTTTTTTTTCAGGCCAACTTCACCCAACTGTGTTTGTCAGATTCTGTGAATGTGAACCTTCAGCAGCTACATTGATAAGATACGGTCTGTGGCCATGCTCAGCACAGAAGCCTTATACTGCCATCTCTTTAACTTTCATGGACATGGTGTATTGCATGATGATGGAAGGGAAAGTGGCTTTGAAAACTGTATGCCACGCTGTCGGTAATCACAACTGTTTGTCACAAAATGAGGTATGTGTAATTTTTTTCTCTATGTTTTTAATGTTACCACATTATGAGAATTTTATCCATGATCTGAAATGTAGTTCAAGTATAGCTACAATGCATCATGTATCATATTGACAAGTTTTTGTCAAGATTTTGCTATAACTGGAGTTGATGATTTAGCAACATATCAATTAGATCACTGCGACTCGGTGCTTTGTCTTTATGTCTTTATGTTTTCAGTTCTTTTGTAATTGTTAAAGGTATAGACCAGTTTTGGAAATGCCCCCCTCTCAAAAAATGAAATGGAACCTCTTATTACCAATCATGTGAAAGAATATGTTTTGACTAATACGTGATGATACACATTTTGCCGGGAAACCGCCTACTACTTGATATATTTGGTAAATTTTTATATCGATTTGGCACATTGAACTTCAACATTGAACATTTGGGCATATTGAATGGATATTTTGCACCCAAAACCCTTGAACCGCAATTTTACCACTACCAGTCTGTATCTTTAGCAATCAGTTCTACATATATACAGTTTGTGATCAGTATACAGCAACAAAATACAGTTTTGCTAGTGTTTTTCCTTCATTTATATGGTATTTCTTTATTTCTGTTTAAAGGTACGTTTGCTCTACCGCAGAATTGTAGGAGAGTGCTTGGAGCAGTATCGCCATTTCCGACTTGATTCAAAATCTCGCAGACGATGACAATGTGTGTTTGGTCAATGGATGAAACATTTACATGTACCAATAACAACTTTAAAGAATATTTTTGATATGTGCTGAGGATGAGTATGTAGGATGACATACTGAATATTTGAAAGTGCCCTGGAGAAGGAAAAACTCAAAATGAGTTGATCTCATTTTTCAAACATTCATAACTTTATATCTTTGTGTCCAATTTCTTTCAATCCTTACCATCCGGTTTCTTTTTTTCTTCCTCCTTTAAAAGAAATGGGCTTATAACAAATTTATTCCCCTATTATTAATTCTACAAAGAAAAGGGGCATATATACATAAATATATATACATTCACACTTTCAAGTAATCCCGGAATGTCTTGCAACACACTGTACCATAATTTTCCCCTTTGTTATAGCATCTTTTGGAACAAGGTTGCAGAACATTTAAGGGTCGCATTTTGAACTGCACAAATCAGCATTTTGTCTTTATCTAGTTGCTCTGTTCCTACATCTTCAAACTCCCTTCGTTGAAATAAGACAAGTTCTCTTTGAAAAAAAGGAATATAGTGTATTAAGTTTTATATTCAGGCATATACATGTATTTATCATTTATAGTATTGATTATGGTATGTTATGAAAAGGAGATTTATATTTTTTGTGTATGCATGATAGATAACATATATGCCTTTGTGTGAAATAAAATTGTGATTAATTTTATTGAAAGATTTACATGTATGTTATTACTGTTGGGATATATTTCTATTTCAACTAAATTGGAAGGAGGTTCAGTTCTATTGCGTATTGTTTGAGTGCGTGGAGATAAAGTTGACAATAATTATGTGGGCTTTTGAAAAAGCAGAGGGGAAAAACATAATTATATATTAATGCTTTCAAGATGAAGACACATATGGAGAGATCAAATTTGAATTAATAAACATGTATGTACATGTGCGTTCATATGGAAAAGGTTGAACTCGATCGACCAGCCTGTCAAATTTGTACACTCCTAGGTAGTGGATTTGAAATCTATGGAGCATTTTTGTTTGGATATTAGGAAAGAAAATCTTGACATGTACACAGGTATGGAGAGCATACAGTGCTCATGGGAGCCTTGTCCATTTTCTAATATATATATATATATATATATATATATATATGTTCCAATCTGTATTCAAAGGGTGGTATTCTCGAAAGCGAACTAACTTTAGTCCACGGTTTAATCCTCCAACTAAGTATGGAATGCCAAGTGTCCATATGAATATATTTTTGAATAATGTGATATGTCCCTAATTTACCATGATAACATGATTATTTCTTAATTATATTGTTGTTTTTATTAATTATGTTATTAAATTTCATTTTGATTTAGTGACAGATTAAGTTATTCAAAAACATATTCATATGGACACTTGGCATTCCATACTTAGTCGGGGGATTGAACCATGGACTGAAGTTAGTTCTACTTTTTATTACCAATCCACATTCAAACAATAATTTTGGGTGTCATCAACATTTACTTTTATCTGGAAGGGAACTTATTGTCACATCTGTACTTAGACGGAAAACAAAATAATGAAGAAATGGTAACCAATGTTGTTTTTATACTTGCCTTCTAAATAGATATCATGCATAATAATGATATATATCTCTATCTATGTTTCAACCTAATAAAAATGGGTCAACTATTGTAAAACCTAAAACTGAACTGTGATTTTGTCTTATGTTTAAAGTGAGATGATGCCAAACTTACAACATTAACTCCTATTTAAACTGCAGAGAGTTCATGCGTAACTTGTAGAAAGTATCTTATATAAATTACCTTATTTTTTGGTTTTTGTGGTGGTAGTAATACCAGACATGTACAAGAGGCACATGACAAGACAAACAATTTTTAAGGAAAAAATGAAACCAATGTTAGTTTTATCGTAGTGATCTTTATTTCATAATGGGTCATATAAGTATAAGTATAATAATTGTCCTTTTCAGGAAATTTGGTTTCCACCGGTTACAGAGTATTACAATACAAATATGTAAATGAAATATTTCATGACAGTGATAAACATACACATATGATAAACATACATAATGAATGATATAATATATGAGTAAGCCACGGTATATATGGTGGTTATAGAGGTAATATCAGCTTCCATTTGACAAAATATGAAGCTAAATTATTTAATATCATTGATTATTCCATAGTAAATCTTAAAATGATAATAAATACATAAATTATTATTAATATTATTTGTATTATTATTATTATTATTATTATTATTATTATTATTATTATTATTATTATTGTTATTATTGTTAAGATTATTAATGACACATAGATTGTAAATACTGGCTCAAGCGGTAATTGATAGTTGGATGCAATATTCATGGCATATGTTTGAAATTTATATTATATTATATTTGTATTGATACATTGACATGGTAGGTTCATAGTAATCAAACACGTTTTGCTTTGGAATTGACAAGATGAATGGAGTCGGTCAGTCGGGGATAAAGGATCTTCGGAAACGTACACGTTGGGTTCGTGGTGTGCACAGGCGTATTCCAGATCTGTTATAATTGAAATGCTCATTCAGTGGGTGCGAGGGGTCATGCATTATTTGTTTTACTTTAGAGAGGGCATTTTTCTGATACAGATCTTCTATGGATGTGAGATCGGCTCCTGTGATACGTATTGTTACATTCATATAAAAATTCTCAGTTCTTAGAGTTTTGACTGGAATACGAAATTAGATAAAGCTTTGGTTAAACACATAATGTGCATTTTTCTTGTTTGCGAACTTCAAAGACAGCATTTGGTTCAATTAATTACTATTTACATCAAAGGATCCCTTTTACGAATATACTTGTACATTTGAACTGTAAGACTGTTCTCCCGTGAATCCAGATTTTTCAACCTTTTTACCTGAATTAAATTCATTAATCTGTAGACTTAAAAAAAAAAAAAAATTGGGAACGCCCCAAAGGGATAAAATTTCCTGAAGTATTTCATTTGTGTAGAATAAGTCCATTAAGAAAAGAAGGATACAGAAAATTTAAGTTACTACATTTAATTACTACATTTTCGAATGAGCGAAGCAAGAGGGCAAAAAAAAAAAAAGGACAATTTATTATAGTAAATATATGATCTTGTCACCTTAATGCTCTGATCACTATCACAAATAATGTCAAAAAGTCAAGCTAATGCAATCTTAATAGCTATGTGCGTCACCTATCAACATGATTAAATATCTTAATGTTCCAAGTCCGCCCCCCCACCCACTCAGTGTTATTTAGGGTACGCATTATGCATGTTTCCTTCTTTTAAAAACACCCCCTAAGTCCGGTGTGTAAAACGGGCTTTTATGTACTACGAGCCGGACTTTGGTGTGTGAAAAGTACCCCTTTACCGGACATTTTGGTAACACGGATGGTATTCCTCCGTTCACGGAGTAGGGGGGGGGGGGGGGGTGGGGGGGGGGTGGGCCGGGGTTCCAAGATTATAATTACGTATACATATTACATGATTCTAACATGATTTCTATAATATAGAAATCATGCATATTATATGCATTGCAATGGGGTTCTGGGAATTGCAATTTCGATCGTGTTACAAGTTAAGATAAACTAGATGGAATTTTGACTGCGCGCAGTCGAAAATGATGCCTCCGCCATAGAGCAATTTAAACAAGTTTGGAGTTTAAATCTCCAGTGGTTCTTGAGATATCATGATAACAATCTCAATGTATGGAATTTCATAAGTTGACCTCTGTGACCCTTGACCTTTGACCTACGTGCTCCAAAATCTAATCAGATTGTCTTCCTATGGTGATACACACTATCATTAAGTTTGAAGTTTAAATCTCCAGTGGTTCTTGAGATATTATGATAACAATCTCAATGTATGGAATTTCATAAGTTGACCTCTGTGACCCTTGACCTTTGACCTACGTGCTCCAAAATCTAATCAGATCGTCTTCCTATGGTGATACATACTATCCTTAAGTTTGAAGTTTTTACATCTCCAGTGGTTCTTGAGATATCATGATAACAATCTCAATGTATGGAATTTCATAAGTTGACCTCTATGACCCTTGACCTTTGACCTACGTGCTCCAAAATGTAATCAGATTGTTTTCCTATAGTGATACACACTATCACTAAGTTTGAAGTTTAAATCTCCAGTGGTTCTTGAGATATCATTATAACAATCTCAATGTATGGAATTTCATAAGTTGACCTGTGTGACCCTTGACCTTTGACATACGTGCTCCAAAATCTAATCAGATCGTCTTCCTATGGTGATACATACTATCCTTAAGTTTGAAGTTTAAATCTCAAATGGTTCTTAAGATATCGCGCTAACAAACTCAATACAAGGAATTTCATAAGTTGACCTCTGTGACCTGTGACCTTTGACCTACGTACTCCAAAATCTAATCAGATCGTCTTCCTATGGTGATAAATACTATTCCCGAGTCTTAAGTTTAAATCTTAAATGGTTCTTGAGATATTGTGATAACGGTCAAACGGGACGGACGTACGGACGGACGTACGGACGGACAACCCGAAAACATGATGCCTCCGGCACCACCTTCGGTGGCGGAGGCGTAAAAATGCTTTTGAGGTATTTTTATCCTGACTTGTAACACGATTTGAAAAGACTTTTGAGAAATCAACCATTTACCCTCCATTCCCCTCTCTCTTTCTCCATTTCTTTCTTGTCTCCTTTTCTCTCTTTCTCTCTCTCTCTCTCTCTCTTGCCACCTTCTCTCTCATTCTCTCTTTCTGCTACTGTTTTCTTTCTTATCTCCCTCTCCGCTCTCTGTGTCTACCCTCCTCTCCCTCTCTCTCTACTTCTATTTGTCCTTTCTTCCCAACCTTTTAGCACCTCTTAATACTCCGTTGATCTTTCATATTGCTCCCAATGTCATCATTGATTTCATCCCACCGTTTGCCCCTCATGAATGATACACGCTTCCGCTCTTAAATAAAAAGCTCGAACATCCATTGATTCAGCCGAGGACGCAGGTTCGAAACTGTGTCACGTCTTTCGGATGGTGACGTTAAAGGTCGGTCCACAGACGTAAATAATCATATCTGATTGATACATGTCTGTAAGAACCCAATTACACACAAACAACAAGGAAATCGATTAGACCATGATCAGACCCACACCGAACCACTCGGTGAATGAGGCAATCATGACTACATCATTGCCTATATTTATTTCCTCATAATGACAACAGGTGAAGAAAAACAGAGAGAGGGGGGGGGGGGGGGATATATAGGAGAAGAGATATTGAGAGGTAAAGAGAGAGAGAGAGAAGGAGAGATTTAGCGGAAGAGATAGGAAGAGGTAAAGATAGAGAGAGAGGGGGGGATCTAGACACCAGATAAAAGAGAAAGAGATAATGAAAGAAAGGAAATAAGGAGAAATATTAAGAGAGAGAAAAGAGAGAGAGAGAGAGAGATAGATAAATAGAAAGAAAGAGGGGCGGACAAAAATCTGATAAATTAAAGGCAGAGAGGGAGAGCATTGGGGAACTATTGGAGAGAGATGTGGCGATGTCTAATTCTTTAGAGCGATGTTTCAGTAACTCTTTATGAATGCAATGCATAAACGCCTTCTTAACATGAGATCGATCCATTTCGTCATGCGTTTTATTTTGGGCTTAACGCTTCGCGCAAAGGCATTAAAGACCACAAATAGATCAAAATCGAAGTACGTTTAATCGTTTTAAAAAAAAATATAACAAAAAAAAGCTTCCCACCGACAAAAAACCTATGCAGTGGCGGATCCAGGGGGGGGGGGGGGGGGGGCACAGGGGGCACGTGCCCCCCCCCACCACAAAAAAATGTATTAAAAATGTTATTAAAAAAATATATATGCCAATGGCTGACCTAAAAAGGTGACCTTAACCCCCCCCCCCAAACGGAGCAAATTGTCAAATTTAAAAATTTCGTGACCAAAACAAAAAAGAAGAAGATCACTTATCTGTACCGCCTTCCCGTTCGCATTAGGGTATAGCAATAATAAAGAGGGTGATTACCATTTTCCAAAATCTGTGATACCTGTTTCAGAATTGTATGAACGCATTCCTGTTTTAAATCTGTCACTTCACTAGTCATCTTGCCAGCATGATAAGGGTCATTATTTTTAAGGACCTCTATTTATAATCTAAGAAGAGGTTCGCTATTCATAATACAAAATCGGAGTCGTTATTCGTAGGGATCCCTATTCATAATACGAGAAGAGGGTCGCTATTCATTATTATGATTATTATGATTAGCAACCCTCATTTCGTATTGTGAATAGCGCCTCTTCTTCGTGTTTATGAATAGCGACCCCGATTCCGTATTATAAATAACGGTCCTTCGAAGTAATGACCGTTCATTTGATTTATTAATAGCGACCCGCATCTCACGTTATGAATAGCGGTTTTTACGATTAACGGTCCCTATGCCTTTATGAATAGTGACCCCCTTTCGTTTTATTAATAGCGGTCCTCAACGCGTAGGAAGTTCCATGTTATGAATAGCTGTCCTCATGAATAGCGATGTTACCCCGACGAAACTGGCCGCCTTATATATGCTCACAATTGTTTGAAATCGTAGAACTTGCTACATATCTTTCTTCTACAATATTTGTTTGTTTACTTGTTTTTTGCTTTTCAAACATCAAAATTTGGATCGAATTTAGGGGATAGCTCTGTTAAGGAGGTATTGGCGCCAAAGAACTTGCTTTGAGATATGGAAATATATAACTTCTTTTTTTGTGAAAATGCACGTTACGCTAATAACATGCTAACTGTAGATAGGAAATGATGAGATTTGGAACACCTATCAGCTCCAATGATTTTCAGAGGGTTGGGGTTGTAGTTTTTGTTTGGGGAAAAAACACGTTACTTTAGAAACATGTTGAGCGGATCGAAATTACGGGATAGCATTAAATTATATATATTTATAGCATCGACCATTTTTGTTGTTGAAATGCACGTTACGATTGAAACAAGCTGATTAAATTGATTGGTAAGATACGAGCTAATCAAACTAGTTGATATCGAGCCTTATTAGCCTACATTACAATACCAATAACGCGTCACACTTTAATGCTCTAGCTTTGGTAGAATTATTGATGGCATCGTTATCTCCTGAAGGTTGGTACTTTCAAAGGTTCGTCTATTCGAACTTTTGAAATGAAAAAGGATTCACTACCCTGAACGAGGTTTGCAATTGTGAAAATTAAAAATTCTTTCTTCTTTTCGGAAGAAAGAACCCTATTTCATCTTCCGACTTATCATCAAAAACCTGTGAAATTACGAGCAGTCGGAGAAACGAGCCTCGGAATTATGAACTGTCGGAATAAAGATCTTTTTGATTAATAAACCTTGGGAATTATGAACCTTGGGAATTATGAACCTTGGGAATTATATATATTCGAAATAATGAACTTTCGCAATTATAAACCTTCGATAAAAAAAATAATAAACTCGGTTTAGGAGGTGAATTTTCCGACAAGGTTACATTCGGCCTAACCAAATTAATGAGTACTAATTTTAAACATCATTTTGGTCATCGAAACTTTCTTAAAAATAAACAAATAAACAATTATGATGCTCACAACAATACTAATGGAAATGAAATTTCTCATTCTACACCTGAATGTTGAATTTTTAGACATTTAGAAATTATGAGCATGATATAGCATGTTACACTAATAACATGCTAACAGTTAATAGGAATTTATGAGATTTGGAATACCTATCAGCTCCAATAGTTTTAGAAAGGTGGGGTTGTATTTTTGTATTGTTTGGGCAAAACACACGTTACCTTAAAACCATGTTGAGTGGATCGTAATTATGGGATAGCATTATAGGATAGATACCGATAGCGTCGACTTTTTTTGTCGTTTAAATGCACATTAGGATACAAACAAGCTGGTATTAATAAGAGGCATGATACACTAACGCATACTACAAAAACAGACCATTATGCACTCTCAGACAATTTAAAATCGACCTTCATCACATAACCTAATGGTATTTCCGGCATGAAAAAGTCTGAATGTTTTATGAAAATGCGTCACGCTTGAATGCTCTCGCTTTGGTAGGATAAAATATACCATCGTTTGTGTGTTATCACTAACATTTTGCTTTAATGTCAACATTTCTGTTATTATTATACTTTGTACCCGTTCACACAAATGTTTATAATTAGTATATGTTGTCTCGCCGAAAGGTAATTTGATTTGTATGTTGCAGAAGAAAATCAATTCAGTTTCATTTCATTTTCATTTCACAAAACAGAATTTCACATAAATGACAAAACTAGAACATAATATCAAATATAAGTATGACATCACATTATCAATTCTTTGTAAAGACATCGAAATAAAATGGTAGGTTATACAGGGTGAAATGTTGGGAACCAATTAAAAAGCTTAGCTTGTAGATTATAGGTTCCCCGAATATAAACTAATATTTGATCGAATTCGTTGCAATGGTGAAGGACGTAAGAATAATAATAGGTGGGAGTAAAAAAGGTCTTAACATAAGATGATGTACAAAGCGAAACAAGTCAAAAAAAAGCAAAAACAGCAAACTAATCAATTTGTTACCAAAGTGAATATCACGTTTGTCACTCTAAAATATTGTGGTCGCTGGAGCGAGTGTGGTTTAAAGAGCCCACAAAGTGGGAGGCGGGGCGCCGTCTGGATGATGTAGGGCATGGTCGCATCCCTGAAACGTTGGGTATTAGTTATTGGGAGTGTGGATAGCGGAAGTATGTTCCAAAGACGGGTGGATCTTGGTAGAATCTGTACAAGAAGTTTCTAAACAAGGAGGAAGTCATTAAAGAAGTCTCTAAATTGACCAAAAAATGATAATAATCATCCATTTTTCACAGACGCTTGCTGGGTTACGCCCCTCGAAAAAAGTACAGTCGTGTGGCTTGATGACGCATTTGACGTCATTGCGGGAATGTCCGATTTGTCCTGCAACTAAGGGTCTTACAATCTAATTAATTAGGAATGACGAAATTGCCAGAATACAGGGATTATCAAGTGCATATTATTTTTTCGGATAAATGTCTTTTTTTTTGCAATTAATATCATAGTTTGCACTTTTAAAGACATTTTAATGCCTAAATCACCCTCCTTTTCACCGGAGAGGTTCCTGCAGTGACGTCATATGCCATTGCGCAATACGGCTCCGAAACTGGGCTTTTTTCTGAGTATTCTGAGTCGGCATATTTAAGCTATATTCCATTATTGATGATTTCAAAGAAAAATCATTGTTATGTTCGGAATCTCCGTCAAAATTTAGTCTACAAGTCTTTTTTTTTCATTTTTAGCCCGTTTTGGTTAGAGTGGCCCTTTAAGTGAAGTGTAATTTCAGTGCACGGCGTACGTTAGATCTTTTTGTGCGCTGTTAACGTTACTGATGGTGACTTTCACAATCATAGCGATCATCACTTTGACAACGACGTATGTACGTCGGAAATGTGTGGCCTAATAAAAACTGTTGAATCTATTACGTCATCTCATGCAAACACGTGGAATTATTATCGGATATTATTATCGTATATATACGTAATTAATAATAAAAACAACAACAACAATGATGATAATAATAGATAATGATAATTACATATGTATACGTTTTAAAGCGTACTTTCTAACATAACAACGCTCAAACCACTACAAATATAAGTTTTAACAAATAGAATATACAATGATGTAGCAGTATATAGGCAACGTTATCCCTGTATAAAACAATATGCAGCTTGGGCCTGCAGCTACAATCCCTTCGCCACAGACGTATATCAATATGGTACAAATTCATATTTCCTTGTCTGAAACACTCATAAGCATATTTAAGAAAGTGCGATTTAAGTTATTAGAAGGCTCAATGCTCAAAATAAAGTGCGTTTCTATAAGCTTCTGCTCAATAATTGTGTTTGAGATAAAAACAAATTTCCCTCCAGTTCTTGGCAATTTGTGAACGTTTGTCAACCTAAATAGGCAAAGAAAGCACTTCGGCCTCATCAAGAGCCACCATCAGGGCCTTTGGTGTATGCCTTAGTGTCGATGTGCCAAAACGCGCTGCACTTAAAAGCCAATTTAAGACTAGTGTTACCTCGATCTCCTCCTCTCACCCATGGCTAGCCTTTACCAGGGATCCTCAATCTCGGCAAATGTAGGTAAAACAAACCAGTCTGAAAGTCTGAAGAACTACACAACTGTCATTGCTGTGTCATCTTTGCTTACGTTTAGTGTAGTCCCAGCTTCGAATATGGCATTGTTGCTTATTTTGGAGCACGTAACTAATTTGCGAAGAGCCTTGCGGAATTGCGGATAGCAGAGAGTGTAAACAATCGGGTTAGCGCAGGAGTTATAGAATGCTAACAGAACCAGAACCTGGTCGATAGGGCCGTAGAGGTGCGATGAATCCAAGACGCGAATGTTGTAGAGGAAATATGCAATCGAGTTTGGCCCCCAACAGATGCAATAGATGATGATGACAAGGATAAGCATATACAGCACTCGTTTTCTGGCGACCAGAAGGTTCATAGATGCCTTGGACTTTCCTTCTCCCCGATAGGTACTATTGAATCGTTTGAATTGTCGCTGCAGTGTGCGCGCTGCGGTAACATTGGTTATCAACATGACCGCAATGGGAATGATGTAACATACTAGAATAGAGTATACGCCGATGGTGACCTGACTAGCGAATGTCATGAAGTCCACTGTGCATTCGTGGGATTCATCGTTGACATGAATGGTGAGAGGGATGAAAAGATTAACGACCAAGGACATTCCCCAAATGAGAATGATGCCAAAAGTAATATGCTGTCGTTTCCTCCAGCGAGCGAACTGGATCGGATATACGATGGCGACGAAGCGCTCTACAGAGATTGCCATGAGGGTTAGGGTGGACGTGAAGATGCAAAACCAAACTAAAACAGATGTAAAGACAATCTTACAGTAGATCTTCCCCAAGAGCGTCGAAGGCACCTGGGACGCACGGGGCAACGGAATGAGAAACAGAGATGTTAGGAAATCAGCAGCAGCTAGGTTCCCAATAAAAGCATCTGCAGAGCTACCGGCACTGCGCCTTTGAAAAAGAACTAACACCACGAGGAAGTTCCCTAGCAGGCCCAGAACTGTAGAAACCATTCTTAAACCAAGCCACCAAGACCAAATAACTGGGTCCCAGATCCAAGCAACATTAGCAGGATTAGGAGAAGCTGCAGTGGCAGACACTATTCCACTGGTCCACCAAGAAGGAGACAAATCGTGGCTTACTGTAGTGGACTTCCCTTGAGTAGTGCTCAAAGTGGTATCATCAATGATAGTTGTCAAGTGCAGGGATGATGATGATGGTGAGGGTGATGATGATGATGAAGATGCCAAGGACATTATTATTTCCGTCGAGGTCATATTACTCGATGTTGTTTCAGTTTTAGACTCTGGTGACCAGTTTCGAGCAGAGGATACCGAATTCAGAGATATCGTAGTTTCGGTAGAAACCTTTATATCACTTAATGTTGTTTCATATTTCGAATCTGTAGTCAAGCTTTGAGCTGGAAATGATGGTGGAAATATAATCAATCCAATAAACAAGATGGTTGGTATCTTGGACATCATTGGGCGATTAACTTCCTCAAAAATATTCTTTAAGTCCCGTGTATCAGCGCCTAGTAAAAAAGAACAATACAGAGAGAGATAAAAATGAACATATACCAAATAATCAAACAAAAAAAATATGCCTTTTGGGACGATCTATGGTAACAGTAAATGTTAGATAGATTAATTGTGCAGACTACTTGATATGTTATTTACTTTTCTTTAACACTGTTTTCAACTTCGATCGCACGCTCCATCACTTGTCACGAAATTTAAGTTTTTTTTAGTAGCTATAAATCAAGTGACAAACTTTTCAAGTGTCAAACTGCGAATTTCCAACCAATGAAATGCCGATTTCGTAAAAACAGGCGATACCGTCAATTTTTGGAAGAATCTACCAACTGTCATTTAGTGAGTGATTTAGAATTGCCATTGTCGATATAGAGATATTAGGTATTACATAGGAATGTACAATTGTTATAGTTAAACAAAATGTTGGGTAAAACAGCCAATGGGGAGGTAGGGAAATAATAGGCTTAGATCGTGTCATTTGTATAACTTGAAGTCAACCTAACCCCAAAGGGTGCTATTCATTGCACCTTTATGGTAAACGTTGGGAAACTGCAATTTAAATAATAGCTTTCTTATCTTTGACCTAATCAGACCTGGCCCTTGTAAATGAGACGGCCATCGTAGCCATCGGGCGATGGAAGAACTTAATTTAATTTAATTTAATATAGAAACTTTACATTAATCTTGATCTAAAGAGACACGAACGAACGAATCTAATAGTTGTGGAATTCCTGGAGTTTTATCTGTAAAGTTAGAATACCCTAAAGAAATAATAAAAAAATGAAAAAATGAAAAAAAAAAAAAAAAATTATATTCTCCTTGCGTTCCTTTGTGACATCCCGTATGAGCGGAGGGCCAAAGTCAGAAAATAGGGGTTTGCCTGCCGCACAAACTAAGCACACCCTGTTTATTCGAAAGATTTTATCATAATACACAATATTTCAGAGGTGCCTTTTGTATTTGCAGCAAACACCTCGAAATTGGAGGGGGCGTCCATAAAATACAATAATATAGAAGTTCCTATCAATTGCATTCAGCACTCTTAATCCCAGTTTTCTGAACTGCTAAATTTCCAATCATTATCGTGAAGTTAATATACCGAGATACTGGATAAAAAATATTTAAGAAGCACATTTTCAGCTAAAATTTTTTATTTTACACACTACTCAATGAAATTGTATCAACTTACAGGTATGTTAATTGACCATCATTTGACACCAAAATCATGATGATTAGACGGGAAACAATAATCTCGCAAACATAGCGATTTTATGCTCTCATATATAAGAGCAAAACAAAATTGCGACAAACTATTGAGTCCTCAATGCAGTAATACACGTGATGTGGAAACAGCTAACACACATAGGGGCAAAAATGTCGTTTTTGTGGAAGTCAAGTAAATAACTTTGGGCTTATACTATAGAACTTTTCATTGAACAGAGATGAGCCTCTCCTTCGCACAAGATATTTTCCTAGTACATGGGCAAATTCCTGGTAAGTTAAAAAAAAGAACACCCCTTTGATTTTGATGGATGGAAAATAATGTTTTTTCGATAACATTCAATTTTTCGAGAAAAAAAAATCATGATTTTTAACTAAAATTGCGATGTTTATTCATCTCATTAATTCCGTTGAAATCGGTATCAAAATTTTGACAATTTAATTTTCTCTTTCATATGACATCAAACTCATGGTTCAAGGTTTCCTTGAAATATAATTGTCAAAATTCTATTTTTCGTCAAAAGGGCCGCTTTTGTTGATCCCCCCTTCAATTTTGGGGTGTTCGCTACAAAAAAAAAAAACACCTCTGATAAATTGTGTATCATGATAAAATCTTTCGAATAAACAAACAAGTTCTGCTTACACAAAAACTAAGCATGATAATTATTTATGCGACGTATCTCGATTCCTTTCGAAGTATCTCGATCTCCCACGATGTATCTCGTTCTCCAACGAAGTATCCTGTTCTCCAAAGAAGTATCTCGATATCATACGATGTATCTCGATCCCTCGCGATATATCTTGATCCACCGCGATATATCTCGACTTCCCAAGATGTGTCTCAGTTTCCCACAATGTATCCAAATTTCCCAAGGTATAAACTTATCTCAGTTTGCGGCGATTTAACTCGATAACCTGAGGTTTATCGCGATGTTCCGCGCTTTATCCCGATGTCCTGCGATGTCTCGGATCCCTGCACCTGCAACATGTCTCTTTTATATTTCAATGATGTATCTTGATTTTGCTGGAATGTCTTTCCATTTTTCCCAGCTGTATCACAATCTTTGTTTCGTGCGGTGAATCTCTACTCTCCAGTATTGTACCGCTCATCACAACAGTAACGATCCGAAATGCGATCTAGGATGTCAAACTCCGCTCTTATGTCCACTTTTATAGCTTTTTGTCTAATTGCTAAGCGGTGGTCATAGCAACACGGCCGCTTTGGATGTGCACGGAGCGCGCTCTCACGAGGTACGCCATTGCCACTGACCTCTCAGGGCGCCATGCCAATCGTAATATTTTACTAGAGTTCATTTGCAATTGTCACAAGTCGTCGTGAGGTGCCTCGATACGAATTGTTTCATTCATCTATAGGCAGATGCGAATTGGATATATACATTAGTTGCTGCTAGCAAGGCAAACAATATGGCTAGGATAATTATGATTAGATTTTTATTATCCCTTCCATGGTTAGTTGTGGGTATCTAAAGATTTGTTTTATTATTGTAATTATTATTTATTCGGCACTTTCAAGAAATATAACAATAAATAATATAATCATGGTGACTACAAAATTAGAATGACAAACTTATTCAAATACAAATTTTTGTAGCGATATTCTGAGTGCAAAAGATGGCGGCCAGGGAAGAAGAGAGCAAACTTAATCACTGTAACCGTAATGGCCGTCCCTCCGCCCAACCAACTCAGTGATGCACTCAGAAGACTGGTAAAAATATAGCATAAGGACAAATAAAGAGAGTAACAAATCAAGGATAAACAATAATAAAATAAAGAAAAGTGAGGAACGAGCAAATGTAACGCCAACATAGAAATTAAGTACACATTATATATAACATATTAGAAAATTCACAAATTCAATAACATGATAGCATTGTCTCTCCATAAAATGACGATGTATATAACATGTTTATGTTTTATACCGGGGTTTTCATTTACCTAATTCATTGCTATCAAAATATTACATGTAGGCCTATATTAAATAACTTTGAAATAAGATGAAACTATTATCAGGACTTATGTCGCGTATTTGATTGTTCACATATATCACTGAAATTGCAATTATTGAATTGAAAATGCCTTCATCAGATTTATACATCGAGACTCAACTGATGCACTTTACCATGTTTACCTAATCTAAACTCATACTTACAACCATTCAACACATCCTTCCTGAACGCAAACATAGTAACCGTAACAATAATGGTAATGGTGTTAATGATAATGATGACGATAGTAATAATAATGATGATTAGAAGAATAACCATAATAATAGTAATTGAAATAATGTTGTTATTTTTTTCCCACATTTTTCCCTCCACAGGGATTTTATTAAATTTATTTGCAACAAATTAACAAACATACATTTAAGGTTATTAACATTTATACAATAGATGAAATTGACTACTCATGATACAAATATTTGTTGAATTAAACAGAAGACAAATATATATTTTCAATAATGCATTTCTGATTTTTATGGAAAAATGGAAAAACAATACAAAAGACACATTTTAATTGTAACCATATGGACGTCATCAAAATGAAAAATGGTGTGATTGAACTAGTAGAGAAATGTCGTAGCTAGAACATATCAACATTTAGAAGAAAATCAACTATCTATGAGTCAGATATTGTCAAAATTAGGACGTCCTTTCTCAAAGTCATTTTTTATAATTGATATGCAAATATGATGACGGCGCGATCGATTGACCCCCAATTTATTCATGAATTCCAATCTACAACTTATAGGCTTTCAGAAAATGAAAACAAATTGGCGGGGGGAGGGGGGGGGGGGTCTCCAGCCTTTCTGACGAGCTACGGCGGATTCAAGATAGAAATGTTTTTTCCATTTTTTAAACATTATATTGCCCATTGACGCGCGCACGAATTTGAAAGCATTATGAAATGTCGAGAATGACTGTAAATAGTTGGACATTGTCAAGAATAGTGTCAGAAAGACAAACCATGCAAAAAACGGCGTTCCTACGATCTTTACGTGCTGCGCTTACGTGTGGAAAGTTTTGAAATGCTAGAAATATCTTGACACGTACTCTCATTTGATTACAAAATAATTTTGAGCATTTTTAAATTTTGACGCGCGCACGGATTTTGTTGACATGTTATGCGTACCCATGACCTCAAATTTATGTATATCAAATGTCATTAAGAAATGGCAATGTATGAATGAAATATGGCCAATGTTAGAAATTAACAAAATGGCGGCTAGATGACGTCAC